GTTGCACCTTCCAACTGCCAGACTCTCGCAAGGGATGCGCAAAATCGAGCCGACCGCACGAAAGTCCAAAGTCTCGAGTAGGTGAAAATATATACAATCTCTTTATTCGGGAAATGCTGCTCCTGAAAAAAAACTGCAAATCAGTCCTTTGGCTTCTCATACTAGGTTGAATCACGGACTCGCACGATAACACGTTGCCTTCAAAGAACCTAAGAGATGTGAAACGAGAGAATAAAGCAATACTGTGCTGCTACCTTCTGGAATGATACCACGAATCGATTCGTTCGTGGCTCTGCTGTTGCTCCGCGGCACAAATTCCACGCCGCGAGCGATCTGGGCAGCGTGACGACAGACGAGAAGAAATGAATAATTTAACGGGGGAACAGCGATCCACAAAAAAAAGTCCCTTCCTCGTTAGCGCCTAGATCTCTTCACTGCTGGGGGCGTGTTCCCATCGGGGACGGCCAGGCCGTGCTCCTTGGCGGTCGTCTCGAAGAATTTCGTCATGCGGACGGCAGACCTGCACGGAGACGAAGCAAATCCCGTCGGTCTCATCTCGCAGGACCGGAAATCCCAGTGCCCACATGGCGTTCACGAGGGTAAACATAACTGACCTGTACTCCTCGGTGGTCTCATAGTTGTACAGCTTGCAGTTGTCAAAGATGAGCTCGATGTCACTCAAGAACTCCACATTAGACTTGTATTCACCTCTGTGGAGCTTTCCCTTCATTGTTCCAAAGTCCATGGGCTTCTCTATGACCTCGTAATAATCTGGAGCCTGAAAATATCATGCAAGAAAAAAAAATGCATTACGCACTGAATCCAGGGTTTCTTGTTACATGGCACTTATTTTTATTTTACCACTATTTTTTCCTTCATATCATAGTGTTTTGTCAATTACCTATTAAAAAAGGAAGCATTGCGTAATGAACTTGTGGCTCTCAAAATTTAAGTCAAGATGTTGGTTTCAATATCGCTATCCCAACCAGCGAGATACAGTGACCAACTTCTGCCCTGCTGCACCTCTATTATCACAATGAGAATTTTCGTATTTATTTTTCTCCATATAAATGTTTAGTTCAAAAGAAACAGCAAGAGCCTTTTCCCCTCTAAGTACAGCTCAAAAGAAAGTGAAATGGTGATTGAAAGACGAAACGGGGGAAAATGAATGGGGGACATTCCCATTGTTCACTCGACTATCAAGGCGACACCAAGGTTTCTCATCTGGCAAAAACAAGGAAGGAAATTCATTTATATTGTCACTACCTAAAGGAGACGACCATACAACTCTTTTTTTTTTCTCCCTTCTCACCTGACATCATCTAGCAATATAAAATATATTGCCAAAAGTAAATAAGATGAAATGATTTCTAAGACACATACACCTGTTTCCCATGTAATGAAACAGTTATTTATATCTCATCCTTCTGGTGTTTTGCAAACACAATGCAGTATGCCAGGCGAATATGACTATTGGATGACGAATAGGAAAAAGTGACATAGCATTTAAAGAATTGGTGTATTTATTTAATTACAGTCGACTCTCAGTATAACGAACACGGATATACCGAAATCATCGACATAGCCTGATCGAATGTCCATAGACACCATGCCAATAAAAAATGTTCTTTTGGAAACAATGAAATGAAATACAAAGAAATTTCAGATGTAACGAAAGAATTTCTGTCCCCAGACAAGAGTACACAAGATATTTTATTCTCCTCGAAGGAAGTACAGACGTCATCAGTCCTTACCTCTATTCTGCCCTTCACCTCGGCTTTCAGCTGCACGGCCTGAGAATGAAGGATTTGGCGCTGAGAATGAAGGATTTGGCGCACGTAGAATGTGCGTTAGGGGGGGAATGTGAATGTGGGTGAATGTGCGTGTGACGAGGGATGTGAACACGGGCGATGCGAGCAATAGAAGCACCGCAGTGCCCGCTCTCAAAGGCTTATCGTCAGGCATCTTTGCCCAATTCATCCCGTGCGAGTTTCATTTCGCAAGGCTTCGGACGGTGTATGCCCTTGTATTATACACGCCGGGGCCCTTTACACATTTCAGACGTTAGTAACTAACGCGCATCGTCGTCCACGAAAGCCTCAAAAGCCGTCGGGCCTCCATAATACACCCACGGGATATCGAAACCATGGATACAAAGGCATAATATGGATTCAGTTCTCTAATTGGAGCTATATAACCCTCTCCCGACAAAACGAAAAGCCATTATAACGAAATAATCCCGGCGGTATCATCAACTTAATTATAACGAGAGTCGACTGTATTTTTTCACGTTCCCCTTTCCACTAACGGCACCTCGAAGTTAAAGCAAAACTTTCCTTGCCATCATAATACCATCATAACGACAACGCTAGCACTGAAAGACGTTCACCTCTTTCCTCGAGACAGGTCTCAAGAAAGGCCAGGCATCAGGATGCTTGGCAAGTTCGGTCAGAAGGGCCTCCAGAGTAGCGTAGTCCAGCTCCACATCGGTGCGGAGTCGCCCAGACCTTCGTCTAGATGTACTGGTTGCAAAGTACTCGGGAGTGCCTGAATGAAACGGGCAAATGCAAGAAGTGAGAAACGAAACCTCGATGGGTTTATGATTGTGGATAAGCAGCAGTGCACGAACTCTCGCGGGAGCCAGATGAGGAGCGCCCGTGCTTGGTGGCTTGAGTGATGCGTTCTGAGGCTCGAGCTGCAGATAGACGCTTGCCGCGCCCTTTTGAGATAAGTGCTTCGTGGACAGGAGTGCCTGAAGGGCCAGAAATAATTGTCATTAGTGTGTAAAACAAACATCGATGGGTTAATGAATGGGTGGAACACGAACTCTCTCGGGAGCCAGACGAAGAACGTCCTCGCTTGCTGGTATGGGTGATGCGTTCTGAAGCTCGGGCTGCTGATTGACGCTTGCCTCGTCCTCTTGGGACTAGTTCTTCCTCGTCGACAGGAGTGCCTGAAGGAGGATGAGAGCTCCGTTAGTGAGGAAATAAACATCTTCCAGTCACTTACGAGTCAGTGGAGCACTAACTCTCTCGAGAACCAGACGAGGAGCGTCGCTTCCTGGCTTGGACGTTACGTTCTGAGGCTCGGCTTGCCGATTGACGCTTGCCTCGTCCTTCTTGAACAGACACTTCCTCATGGGCGGGTGACTCTAGTCGTCTACTCTTACTGCCATCCCTTCGACCTTCGACACTTTGAGGACTCCCTGTCGTTGGAAATGGCATAAAAGCACTTGTAAATATTTAAACAATAAAAACTTAATCGGACAATCATGCTCTCAATCTCAACTCTGAAAAAAAAATCACCTCTTCGAGTCAGTTCCTGTTTCCATTTCTGCCCAGCATCTGATAAGCAATAGCATGTCACACAAAATGTTTTCAAACATACCCCATATATTACATGAATACAATGTGCATATAGTATTCCAAGGGCCCCATGCACTACTATACATCAACTGAGAATTAGTACCTGTACTGCAAGCAGGTCTAGTACTTTGCAAGAGAGCATAAAGCTCGAGCATTCAAGGTGAAGAAGCTAATCCTACATACTTGAAAAAAATTTTTTTTTTTACATTTAAAAAACAGAGATGTGATGCGATGGAAAACCAAGATCCTCAACCCTCCCTTTTCATTCATCTACACAATGCATATACAAACTGCTAACATGGAGTACTCACTGAGAAGGCATGCAATGGAGGTCTGAGATTTATGAACGCGCTCAGAGCTTGATGGATCCCTGGCACAAGAAGGGCAGAACCAGTCACCATCAGGGATGGCAGCCAATGGTGGGATCAGGCATTCCAGGTGGTACATTCTGGGACATGTCTCGCACAGAAGGAGGAGTCCCACTTCCCCACATTTTGTGCACACCTCCACCACATTTGGATCTGCCAGTACTTCTTATTTTTCCCATTGGCAAAGAAATGTAACACATTCATGCCACGGTATCATGCCATGCATGAGGACAAAAACTCGCTCGAGGACTCACCGGTGCCAGATGAACGAGATCGACCCTGACACTTGTGACAGTACCATTTCCCACGGGGGACTCGGGATAGTGGAGGTTTCACACACCCCAAGTGGTACATCCCAGGACAATTATCACACATGAGCAATTCTCCTGGTTCAGAACATTTCCCACACACCTCTAGCTCTCTGTGCAAGAAAAAACGAGTCTTCATCAGTTGGTGAATTAAAGAAAAAGAGATGGAAAGTAATTGAGTGCTCAGGCAATTAGAAATTAAATAATTTGGAAATCAATGCTTTGTAGCAAGTAACATCAATCAGAATAAACTGGAATTTGGGCAATAGGTATTGAGTGCGATAAGAGCTGAGGAAACATAAAACTCTTCAGCTGCAAATGCACTTTTCTAATGCAGCAACCATGCAGTGATATGAACCACTTATACTGCACATGGCAGCTAACAAGTTAACTATGGGCATTCATTCCCATGTTTCATAGAGAAACAGAGAAATGGTCACAGACTCACATGTGCTCCTCCTTCGAGTCATCCTGTTCATCACTCTTCTCTTCTCCATCATCCTCATCTTCCTCACCCCCATCTTCATCCTCTTCATCTTCATACACCATCTTCTCATCATCTTCCTCATCACTGCTTCTCATGCTCTCATCTTTTTCTGGTCGAGTTTCCTCCTCCTCGTCTTCCTCTTCAACTTCTTCATTCTCTTCCTCCTCCTCCTCCTCTTCTTCTGCTTGTTCTTCCTCCTCTTCTTCCTCGTGTTCAGAGAACATGCGTCTTCTCCGTGATGGCACGGGAGGAACCACCTCCTTGGGTCGACAACTCTCACAGAACCAATCTCCAGATGGAATCACCTGCAGCAGCAAGGGAATCCAATTGATATTGAAGCCAATAGAAAGGCTGCACCACTGCTTTTAGTATTAATCAAAGCAAAACAACTCATGAACTGACTTACCTTGAGTTTGGGTTTCAGACAATAGATGTGATGGCCTCGGTCACAACCATCGCAAAGTAACATGTTGGCCTCATCGCCCTTGCGGCGGCAAATGCGGCAACGGGCATAGAGTACGGACCGGGACCACATGACACTGCTCTCTGTGAAAATATTACATTTAAAATTCCTTTTGAAATCCAGAACACAAATATGTCTATGGATCACACACTTATGATGCAGAGAGGCATATTGCATGCACAACAGCGACAACGCAAAAGTCAATACGAACCAAGCACAGAAAAATGAAGAAAGAGTTGGGGGAAAGAAGTGCAAGACTTGAGGGACAATTCCCATCTCTGCAGTGGAGTGAGTTTCTTCTTTTTGGCTCGTGCTGACTCCTCATCCCCATCTTCCTCCTCCTCAACACGACCTTGCTTCTGCTGCTGCTGCTGCTGTTGCTTCCGCTTAGCCTTCTCCTTGTCACTCTCACCTGGAAACATAAAATCTAATGATATGGGCTTCTACAATGGAACATGATAAAACAAGTGGCTTCACAACAAAATTGATATAAAAGATATGTAATGTCAGCCTTTTATGTGTTTCATAATGTCCTGCAATGTTTCACAGCATTATTATCTTCCAGTGATCATGACTTCTTCAACAGAAATGTAATAGCGAAAGTCTTAGATCAGATGCTTCGGTATTAGGTCTCACTACAAGCCCAGGCACATAGAATTACAACTAATGACTATGGAGAAAAGAAATACATGAAATGAAATTTAGAGCTTAAGTTCCTGTTTTCTCTTGCCAAATGTATACAAGTCCTTAGAACTTGGGCTGGAAATAAGCATAGTCTTGTATAAGTCTCCCATAATATCCAGTTTTACATACCAGAGGTAATGATTGAAAATTACTGAAGTTACCAAATAACCATTGCATTATTGATCCAAACTAATTTCAGTAAAAATATTACCTAACCATTACTCATGCTTCAGTGAAAGCCATGCCACATCCCCATCAAATCACACATCCCATGATAACCATATTCCAGGACCACTATTTAATTGAATAAGGATTGCAAGCTGCTGCTGAAGCAGAAAGAACAAAACCATACCACCCTAAATGTTTTCTTTTTACAACAAGCCAGTGAATCAGTCTTGCAAACTATGGAAAAGAGAATGTTTACAAAATAAATATAACTGTTTCAATGAAAGTAAAGACAAACCATGTGTAAGTATATCAACACCTTCATGAAGAAAACAGTTGACCCAGAAACAATTGACCAACTTGACAATGTCATGGGTTCATACCAAGGGGAGGTTGGAGGTATTTCACTTCCACACTCTGTCCCAGCTGAAGGAGAGCTGCAGCCATCTCACGTACAAGTCGAAGCCTTTCCCTCTCGTGTTTCTCTGCCTCATCTATTTCTTCTTCCTCTTCATTTCCTCCATTCTCCTGAATATTTTCTTTTACGTCTGACAAACGAGAGAAATCATTATAAGTAAACTTAAGTAATGAGAAATAGGCTCACCCTCATGAGCACTTTTCATAGATCCAGGAATTGCAAACCACATCTGCAATACCATTAAGGTCCTTGATATTCGTTCAGAGCATCAAATGCAAGGCTTAATGGAATGATCCAAATCTTAAAGGTAATTCTCCTGTCAATAAACAAAATTCCACTAAATAAAATAATTCAATTATAAGTAGGCAAAATTATAAGACAACGTTTACCTTAAGATCACGGCTTCCCAACCCATGGGTTGGGAAGTCGTGATCCCAACCCCATTTCCCAACTCCATTTGGGGTCACCAAGATCATATTTTGGGTAGCAAACCAGCAACTAAATCCCATGTTACTTCTTTCTTTGTGATTTTAGTGCAGAGGTGGGAGAGCCTGTTCAACCTCAGCCAATGCTTGGGGTCCAGAACGGTATGATCATTATTTTTTGGGTCAAATGTGAAAAAGGTTGGGAAGCCCTACTTTAGATAAATGTTTCCAGACAACTCACATATACTATGATATTTCCTATTTCTTTGTCTGAAAATTCCACCTCTCAGGTAATGAGATTCAAAACAGGTATCAATGAAAAAACTATTCTAATGACTAAGTAGGAAATGAAAGCTGCATGGGTTTGTTTGCAGTGAGCTTGGCTCCTGTGCTAGGGGATCCAGATTCAAAACCAACCAAGTCAGGCATTCATTTCCAAGTGCAAACCCTGAACACTTGGCACCACCTTCTCTATTAATAGATGAATCACTAATTACATAAAAATAACTCAAAGACTGAAGGTTGAACTAAGGTTGCAAGCCCCTGGAGTAACATCTAGGACTAAATGGGAGGAAGGGGAAGTTAGTTGCATCACCAGAGTGAAGGTGCATTCATGGAACCTGTCCCTGGTATGATATCATGTCATGGTGAGAATTTTATTGTTAAAGTTGACAAGCTAAGTAAAACATGCAACCATGAACTTGTGTGAATACACATAGACAGGAATAAATTGAGATCTCATTAAATCACAAGTCTATATTTACATTTTTGGGTGTAGTCTCTTAACTGGGCTAGTTTAGTGTTTCACTCACCATTTTCATCTGTATCATCAGGTTCCCCCTTCACTTCAGCTTCTAGAGAATCCAGAATCTGAAAAGAAAAGAAATAAAGAGCAAAACATTACCTTGGATATTTTTTTTACTCTAAGAGCTATTACTATACTTTACTCCACTACTATGTAGGCCAATGATCTAGAGAACAGTAAGTCTACTCACACTCTTTGTAGTGTACTGCCCACCCCAAAGAAGAGTGGCACACTGTTGATCATATGTGCGCTGTTCAATTGCAGCCCTCCAAGCATCACGGTCTTTCACCTGTCACAAAGAGAGAAGCTTACCAGTGAAAATAAATTTTCATCACCATCACCATCATAACACAAGCATGTGCTATGATGCATGCACTATATCCTATAACTGCCTGTATACTCTACCTTGAGGGAGCCAAGCCCTCCACCCTGAATCTTCTCCTCCATTTCAAGGAGGAAATCTCTGAATGTGAGTTCAAGGACTTCCTCAGGTGCAGTTCCAGGTGGGAAATTGAGGTTCATGTTTTGACCTCCAGCAGCCCTTCGACGTTCTGATTTTCTTACTTCCAACATGCGTAAACCCTCTCTGCTCTCCAGATCCAATTTATGTACTGGGCATTTCTCCAGGTTAGATATAATCCTCTCCTTGTCAGCCTTTATTGCAGAAAACCAAGAAAACAAATGACCTCTCGATAAAAGACCAAACAATGATGTCTAATGGGTTAAACTTCTCACTATTAGGGTCTCCTGTAAATACTTTTCCCTGATCCCTCGAGGATTCAGACTTCCAACCAGGGAGTCAAATTCTTCTGCAGTGCTGTAAAAGGCCCATGTTGTTTTTGGTAGGAAGGTGCTGTGCACTACACAGTTGTCTTTATCTGCTGAGCACAACCACAGACAATTCTCTTCCTTTGGCATTTCTTCTTCCTCCTCCACTTCCATCTTTGGTGAGTCAGATGCTTCACCTAGTCAAATTATGAAATAAACAATTTTTTAGATAGAAAAGAGAGAATTCTCAATTTTGCAATTCAGTGGTGCTTACTCGGATGGATGTCCTCTGGATGAGGAACTTCCTCTGACTTCACTGCTGGAATGTTTTCCTTCCCAGTCTTGTCAGTTAGGGCATCTGACTTTGCCTGGGTCTTGCGGGAATACGTACGCATCACCTCGGGAGTCTTCAATTGTGCCCCCTCGACAGTGTCATTCTCTTTATCACTCCCAGCATTCTTTTCTTCATGATGTGGATCAGCCTGCTTGTTGAAGAACTTCCGGATATCTTCCTTGGTAGGACCTTTTGTGCCTGCTTCTTTGGGCACTGGGGTGGCCTGTAAACAACCTCACATGTGAACATGACATTTTGGAAATTCACAGGAGGAGGAAGATTATATTTACCACAGGCAGGCACAGCCCAACATAATCATCATCATGCTCCACAAACAGTCCAGGGATGGAGGAGAAGACCCAGAATCGCCTGTAGGCCCTATCACGGCCTAAATAGGAGATGTTAAAGGTGGCCTTGGCAGTGCTCAGGGCAGTGATCAATTCCCGTTCCTTCCTCTGTGTCTCTGTCTTCCTCCTTGTGTCCTTTCGTTCACTTAGCTCACCAGCAAGATCATCATAATTCCTCTCCTTCCCCTTTTCTTTGCTCTCACCCTGTTTATGTTTGTCCTCCTGTTTTTGCTTAGCTCTAAACAGAAATCAAATAGACTTCAAATGAAAATACAAGTCCATACAAGATATAATGCTGCAATGAGTTGAATTTTAAAAAATATTTACCTAACAGCAGCCTCTTCTTTCTCTTTTTTGGCCTCATCCATTCGGAGAGCACGTATGTCCTTGCGCAGGGCTTGATATTTCTCAATGTTTTCATCCATAACATCTCTTATGGCAGCAAATGTTAAGATTTGATTGATTAGGCATGTCAAGATCTTCAACTTCTCACCTGCAATGCAAAATATAAGAAATTAGTACTGATTAATAAAAGAATCAGAATTTACCACACTACAGTCTAGATGTCTACAATTAATAATTAAAAATATGGAAGAAACAAATCCTACCAGGAGACAATGCAAAGACAGTGCCATTAGACAGCTTTTGCAGAATGGCTGATTCCTCTGTGCGAAATATGAGACCAGGATCATCAGTCCCTGAGAAACCACCTCTTTGCTGATACCTTGAAGAGGAAATAAGATACAGGGAAAAAGGAAATGAAATTTAAGAGAAACACAAGACATTATGTATAAGTCAGGTATGTCAGGCTTACCTCCAAACTTTGTTCTTCTCAGATCCTTGAGCACCTGATGCCAGGAGATGGAGCCTAAGGACTTCAGTCAAAGTCAATGCATCCATCTGGAGTTGGGTCAAATTCATTCGGAAGTGTTTTTGTGGCCAGATGGCTGCTTGAGAGGCTTGTTCAACAGCCTGGGCCATGGTAAGATCACTTTTGGACTCTTGTAACAATGCAGACCCAACATCTGAATTAAGCTCTTCTGCTGAGGATCCCATCTCGGCTTCCTCTTCACGCTGTGAAAAGAATCACAGTTGCAGCAAGATCCTATTAAGGTGTTATGGGAACAGAAAGAGTGAGCATACCTGAAGTGCAAAGACAGTCTTAAGGAGTAGCTGCAAAATGTCTGAGAGAGGACTTTGAACATCAACTTCAATAAGAGCACTCTCTAAACGTTCAAAGGCCAAGCCATTGGGGAAGACCCGCCTCACAGCCAATGGGGTTGCAAAGATGTGAAGAAACTCCAATACTTGAATCATGTCCCCAAACAGAGCATTTGGTACTCTGCAGTGTACCGGTCTAGGCTGAGGCAAGATCTAAACAAATAAATAAAATATATACATATATCCATTAAAAAAAACTTCCTTGAAAAACTTCCATAGTATGAAAAATTAAGGCTTGAAAGGGGGACTGACTTTGAGATCATCACATTCTAAGTCTTCTCTTGGCTTATTCCATTCCCTAAGATATTCTTGATAAAGCCGTCTCTCTTCTTTCTTCTTTTCGCGCTCCTTAGCCTTATCCTCCATTTTCTGAAGACGTAATTCCTCAAATTTTTTCTGTATTTCGGAACGCTCCATCATCCTCTTCTGCATGTCATCAAACCTATGGTGCCAATTAATACACATCATTATTAGCAACCAATGCTGTTCAAATAGATGGCAAAGAACATAAGGGTATGACAACTCACTCATGCTGCTGCCTATCCAGCTGGTTCTTAGGCTTTGGTCCTCTCTTGGCAGCTGCAAAAAAAGTTCATAAAGATGTACCTGTAGTACACACTCAACACTGCAGCAAAGATATCCTCAGGCTTATATTGACCTAATAGATCTCAGGTACTGAGATCTATTAGGTCAATAGATGCAATGACTTTGAATGACTTTTTCAGGTTTCTGATCAGCCAAAAACATAACTCAAAGTTTTATGCTCATATTCACCTACATCCAAGCATGTATTAACCATGAAATAAGTTGTGGCAATGAAGGCACAAGAATGAAGGAAAAAAATGTCAGGCAGATGCAGAGAGCAAGCTAATTCCTATCTAAGCTGAGCTGGTGCAGGGTCATTCAATATTGAGAAAATGGGAAACACCTCTAAAAATGATTAATATTACAATTTTGATGGATTCAAACTAAGTAGAACGGCCTAATACTAGATTGCAACTGCTGTCTCTTAATGATCCTCAAAATGTTCATGAACACAGGGCTGGATTAAGGGGGGGGGGGGGGGGGGGGGGAAGGGGGGNTAACTCTATGTATCTATTAATGATGAAAATACAATATAAGTAAATATAATTTTATAAGTAGTATATAAATAATTAAAAATAAGCATAATTTAAGTACAAATAAATTTTTAAATTAATTTTTACCAATTGTAGCTATTTGCATAAAGTAGTAGAGGGGGAGCCCCAAGAATTCACTTGCCCTGGGCCTCACAACTTCTTAATCTGGCCTTGCATGAATATGATTCTATTATCTGTCACTGAAAAGTGTCTTTAGCTTAAAATTACCCAACATGCATACCAGATGGTCTTAACCTCTTCTGCTTCTACTTATCTTCTCCTTAATATTTTTCAAGGTTTTCATTATTTTATTTGGCATTCTATGCTTAGATTCTCCTTTTATGCCTCGATGAAGGCATTTACAATCAAATGGGAAGCAAAAACAGCTAGGAAACATTTTTACCACTTAATTGGCCTATTTATGAAAGTGAGTAGTACAACTCAAGGCTTCCCCATTAAACAATTGTTTCCCTACTCTGTAGAGGACTTGGTGCCTTATTTAGGGCAAATCCCCGTTTAACAGATAGGCACAATGAATCATAATACAGTTGAAACACTCACGTTGCCTGGAGTCTCCCAGAAACTTCCTGATGTCAGTCTGCTTGGAGGAGGCTTTTCTGGGACTGCCTGCAGGGCTGCTCAGCCTGGACATCTTCTTGCTGCCTTCACTCACTGGGAATTTGGGTTGGGGTCCACTGCAGATGTCATCAAACTTCAGGCTATCAATTTCATATGCTTTCTTCACCCTCTCCTGAAAAGCACCCAGGGAAAGTGAATTACCTCAATTAAAGGCTTCCAACAGGGATTGACTTTACGCGCAAATGTGCGTCCTATACGCACAAAATTCCGAAGGGATAACAGAAAAACATCGGGGTCCCAAGTCCCCTTGTGCGTGACGTGAAACCGATGAGCGCGGCGCAGGTTGCCTTGTGTTCTCGCGCTTATGACGTATTTCCGTTCGTTTTAATTATGGCTTCAGGGTGGTCGGGGCTAACAATCTTCTCGTTCAGTTTCAAGCGGGAAATGTACTGTCAGTTAATCCGAATCTCACGTTGGCATACGTTCAGATGTTCCTGAACATAGGCCTAGTGACACATAAAGAAAGGTATCAACAGCGTAGGTCTAAATTCTAAACGATGGTGATGTCCAAGTTTCACTTAGGATGCACAGGGAAGGGAAAATCACCATAGGCCTTGACCTAGTCGAAACGACGGGGAAGTGGTGGGCATTGGCGATGACGATGAAAATCAGCAGTTTGTGAATCATGAATCACGACAAAGGAGAAAAGATTTTTAAAAAATGGAAGAGCTGGGTCAACATGTATCCCTGGCTTTCCCATTGAGACGCAAGTGCTTCCTGCGATTTCTGCTCAAATACAAATAAGAAAAATCCCTGCACAGCATTCGGCAGCTGTAATTTGCAAATCTGAAGATGCCCTAGGGATATTTATGTCAAAAAGAAATGTTGGAAATAGTCCTAAGGGCTTCTGGATGGAATATCATGCTGTTTGGTTATGTTAAATCAAAGAAACATTGACTGCTGGACTTCGACTTTTGTGCAACTTTTCAAGATTTTATTATGCTTCAATTACAATGGGACCACCAGAGGGACCCTTTCTTATCAGACCTGAGGGTGCTGAGGACCCTTAACTTAAGGCAATAAAATTAGCACAATCCCTGTTCTAAGACTTTACACTATGTTAAACTAGTACTATGAGAATGAAATATTTCATCATTGAACATTTTTGGAACATGTTGGATGCCTCATAATTTATTAGTATGAAGCTTTTTTGATGGTTGGAAAAACATCAAGAAATGCTACATGATGTGAAATTCTTGAATTGTATGCTGTATATGTTTATCATCCCCCTAAGTTAGCCTGCTCCTCCTGGAGTAAGACCTCACTCCACTAAATAATTAAAGAACCTCATACACATTTAGTCTTGTAAAGTCAGCTTCCTACCATGCAGGTGCCAGACAGGCTGCCAGTATAGAAGGCAGACTTTAGATTGCCCTGTTGTGGCAATCTTATTACACAGTGGAGGGAAAAACCACATTGGTTTTAAAGAACAATGCCTTTGAATACACACACTCTTCAGCTGTCATCAGTAAGGAATGTTAAATCTAGTATCTGCCATTAAAAAAATGGCAAGAAAATCCAGCTGGCACTGTTGAATGACCCTGTCCAAAATCATGAGGAGGTAGCATCAGACTCATAGGTGATTTTTACAAGAAAATCCAACAGATTCTGAAGCTGGCATTCATCCTAACAGTTTTTTCAAGTGTTCCCCAAATTGCTAAACCATAAAGGGCAAATTGGTGTTCAGTGGCTTCATTTCAGGTTCTAACAATCCTCCCAGGTGTTGATGCCTAAGACAGTTGTCAGAGACCAACAGGGTGGAGTACCATGTTGATGGAAAATGAATCAATTTCTAGGGAAGACATCATATTTCAGAGAGCCAAAAATTTGGCCATAGAACTAGTCTTATTTATGCCCTTTTCATTAAACATATTGGAAAACATTTCAAGAAAAAGTTTACCACACCACCTTTCAGAATCTGTTGGATTCATGAGGCAACATTCCCCCCAAAAATGGGAAGCCATCAAATAATGATTTCTCAGCATGGATATTTTCCAGTGGCAGTCATATATGCCACCTGTTCTGAGTGTAAAAGTCAAATTGAATACTTTTCATCAATATCGCCAAAGACCTTGCATATTCCCATCCATTGTACATCAACAGGTTCTTCTTTCTTCCTCATGAGAATAACTGACTGAATCAACATACTTTTGTTTGCTTTTTTCACCCACCTGGTACTTTACAATACCATTAACATCCAACACCAGCAGGCCTCCAAAGAGGGCATTGGAATTAATCCTTAGGGTAGTTGAAGAAATCCAGTCCATATGGTGACCATCGACCCATTAGCACCCAAGTTCTAATATTAAGTTGAAAATTGACATAAACATAGCCAGCATGCCCAATATCATCCCATCATCCATTCCCCCCCCCCCCACCAAGTGTCTGTTTCTATCTTAGTCACCAAATAGCTACAATTGGTAAAAATTAATTTAAAAATTTATTTGTACTTAAATTATGCTTATTTTTAATTATTTATATACTACTTATAAAATTATATTTACTTATATTGTATTTTCATCATTAATAGATACATAGAGTTAAAAAAAAAAAACCAGCAATAAACAGTTTCTTAAAACGAATCCTGGTACATATTTGCAGATCTTAAAAACAAAATTACAAATCCTCAAGGTCTCCATCAAGCTGATATGTGGTGGAGTAGCTCACATACCATCCTGACCACCTAAATTGTAGGTCATCCCAAGATATTTCCAATAAAAATTCCACTTATGGGAGTACTCTCAAAGATACCACTCAGGCATATAGGATGCAGTTTAAGGAAACAAGCAGTGCCATGGTTACATCATTTATAACTTTGCTAAAAAATTAGGGCACAATTATCATCCAGCCAATTTTTGGAATACTAGCAGATAATGATAGGGAGGGTGTTAATGGAACTATTTTACAACTGTGTCTTAAAATGCAGAATGGATAACCTTAATAAAGGGTGATCATGGGTTTTCCACAGAGTAAGGTTCTGATACCAGCAATATGAATCGCCTATCGTTCATACAGATTGGTGGTTCTTCTTAATAAATATGTATATCGGTGAATGCAATGTCAGTTGTGTATTCACTCAAACCAGATCTAGCCAGTGGCTAACTAAAGCATTGACTGGGAGATAAGTAAGGGACATCAATCAAATTCACCTCGCAGCAAAACAAAGCCTTGCAATGACGAAAGAAGGGAGAAAGAAGGAAATAAAGAGAATCTCTCCTTTTTTTGGTACAAAAATCGATTAGCATATAAAGTAAATCCAGATTGCTAAAGTAAATGGTGCCATATGCCCTTGGATGGCCCTTCTTGTCAATAAGCCAGGAAACAACCCCACTTTACCTAGCAAGTCAGTTGAAAAGTTAAGTGTTCCCTTCACTAAGACCTATATTTGGGGGGGGGACAAAGACTGAGTGAATATATAAAAGTATTGTTTTGAGGTTTGCCTACAAGGAGTTACATTTCATGAAGCTCACATGGTGTATGGGGTAGGGAACTTTGAGTGACATAACATACATAGCCAGTGAAGGATACATCACATTAATGCCATTAGAAAGGCATTTGAAGCAATATTGGCAACATATATGGAAAGCTTCAGCTTTTGAATAATATTAATCAAGAGCCCAGAAATATCAAATGCTTGTGACATCAGATGCAGACATGTAGAAGAATAATAAATAAAATAAAAACATTCTTAGTTTTGTGAACCTTTCCAAATAATGAAAAATGAAAGTGAAAGTGGAGAAAGGTCTTGGACTCCATCAGCTCAAAGAGCTGATGGCAGGACAGAGCGGTATAGTACACTCTAGACAAAAGTGACAATATTTCTGATTCATCTTGGCTACAAAACTTGTATTAAAATAACCCAAACAACTTTAAAATCTAAACAGGTTATTTCAGAAATATCTCATCTCCCCCTTCCCCCCATAAAATTCTTGAAATGTAACATAATACATTCACCTATCCACAGCTGCATTTAACACTCACCCTGACAACCCAAAGTCCCTTGGAATTGAGTTCGGTACACTGACGAAGGAACAGCTTATTCTTCTCCCTGGTGAAAAGACCCTTAAGTCTTCTGATGTCATCTGCTTCAACAACTACTTTCTTTGGTGCCTCATGACTGTTTTCATCTTCTTCCTCTTCATCGGGGATCTCTTCCACTTCATACTTATAAAGGCAAGCTGGAGGTCCAAGTTCTGCATCCTTTAATGCCTTTCCTTTACTTTCATGTTCACCATCCCTGAGTGCACAAATAATATTCAGCATCATTGATGAGCATCAAAAGCAGGGGAGACAGGAAACATGTGAGACCATTTTTTTAATGACTCACGCATTTGACTCTTCTTTGCAAGAGGCCCTCCATTCTTCAATTTCAGCTTCATTAGGTGGAATCACTTTGATCACTTTACAATCACACCTGAATGAGAATAAACATATGGTAACATTTTCCCACTTTTCAATACAAACATCAATTCCATTGCAGGGGACTTAAAGTCTAGGTGAATTGCAATGCTCACCAGAGATCATCAATGACAGCTTCAACCAAGTCACCAATGAAGTAGTGCTCTCTGGCATATGAATAGATGTCTTCCCAAAGGTCAAGAATTCGTCCTCGGCAAGTCAATGTTGTCAGGAATATCAATGACCGCTTCAGCTATAGGATATATCACAGGAATAAGATCTTGCTGCTAAGTTACAGGCTTCAATCAAAATTTCAAATATCTAGGATACACATATTGTATGACTTTGAACATTTAATGGCAATCTCCACAATACCTGTTTTGGTAAGGTTTTCAGGCATTTTCTAGCCTTTCTCTCAGACTCCAGGGCCTCTTGAAAGGTGAGATTTGGCTTCCCTGTCAACTCACAGGTCCAGAGTAGAGAATTGCAGAGGATGACCCTCTTGAAGTAGTCGCTGAACAACACAAGTATAAAAAGCAAATGTTAGCATATCTTGGCCACTGTATCCAATCTTATGGAAACCTAACATTATTCAACTTTTCATCAAATATAGGTAAGAGTAAGAACAGATCATGAATCCTGAACTTGGATCATATGATATAAATATGCCTCAACCCACCTGTAATCCAAGAAAATTTCCTTGGTGAATCTGCAAAAAAAAACTTCATCTTGAGGTTTTAGGTTGGATGGAGGTGGCTTTCTTTGAAAGGGTCCCTTCATAAAAAGTGGCATTTTGATGGGAGAAGCAACTTCACCAATCCCAAAATCTGGTAGCCTCCCAAAAAAAAGAGGTACCAGTAGATCTATTAATTGAAAAGGATCATCAGATATGAATTATTACATTGTGCATGATCTACCTTAACATATATGGAGTTACAATAGTAAAGTTATTCCTATACCAACTCAACCTTAAAATTATCACATCATTCTTAAAGCTAAATTAAGCCTCACTAAGAAAAGACTGACAGACTAGGCTTACACAACATTATATCCTTAGGATCAACATAGGCTGAGTACTAGGCTGATGCTAAATACATTACATTCTCAGACACTGATCACAGGATATTGCCAAGCAGCAAAGAACTGACAGTTTACATGATTCAGAGAATATGTAACATGTTGACCATATCCAAGCTATTTCTTCAGAAAAGCTTATAATGCATGAACATTCATATGTGTTTCACTTTGGGTTATTTGGCCACCAAACTTCATGGAATAAATGAAGCTCCATACCCAGAGGTGGGCATCATTTAAAATACTTCAAATGTATTGAAAAATGTATTTTTATTTATTACGGAAATATGTATCACAAGATGAACTTGCATATTATTTTTTAAATACAGTTTTCTGCACAAAATAAGTTTTTTAATCATATGAAAAAAAGTCTTAATTGGAAAGTTCAAAAAGGATTTTACATATAAAATACTTTTTAAATTTCAATTCCTAAATCCAAACATAGCTACCTCACTTGGATGGGAATTTCTTCAGTTGCATAAGAGGGCCAGAAGGTCAAGGCTTAATGTGCTGCATGTACTACAGAAAAAGTGCTTAGTGGAACTTGCTGCAACATCCAACTTCTTCACACATCTGGAAGTCTATTATGCTGTAATATCTTGATATGAATATGCTGACCTAACTGATCCTTGGCCCAAGCAAGGTATTTTGATCTATCAAACATTGGTCATCTTTAGGGACTAGGCATTGTGCAAGCTCAAAGCTTGGCAATATTTCTATTCTTTGCTTTCAGGGAGTACAACCAGATCTCATTAGGATTATGAATGATATAAGGAGCAGTTTGGAAATTTAAAAGGAAACCAAAAAATGCCATGCTCAGACAATGTGCTATTGAAGGCCAATGGTTAGAACTTCCAAAAGGTTCCTGATTTGGGGTAAAACCTGAAAGGTATGATGTGAATTTTACAATTTTTTTAACTTGTAGTTTCAACTGTATTTTAAAATAATATTTTTATATTGCATTTGAAATAATAAAATTAGGCTGTATTTGTATTTTGTGATTACATGTATTTTTTGGGAATATGTATTTTATAGTTTAATACTCAATCAAATGCATTTTGCCCTTATCTGCCCATGCCATGAGTCTCTTGAGAAGTGAAAGCTTGGATGCAGTTAATTTGTAGCAACTTCATTGCAGACCTAGGTTTCTTATGCAAGTTAAAATCTTACCCTGTCGTTCTAGATTCATGTGGCTGAAAAAAGGTAAAGGACACTAATAGAAAATTACATGGAGATTGGTAGGAATTGACAGGGTGGTGTCACAAAGGTGTTCTCAGCAGGTATGATGGAGAAGGCCTAGTGGAAGGTGCTGGAGATTCCACAAATAAGTAAAAAAAAAATATGCAGGTAGAGGGCTACAGAGCTGGCTTTTCATGTTACTGATACCACATATCTAATGCAATCTCATTCCATTGTCTGAGGAATAGTTAAGAACTTGCTTGGCAAAGACCATTTTATAATTTGGAACTCAAGTTTTGGTGCTCTTATAAGAAACTGATTCTCATGTATGAATTGCAAATCAAATCAATATCTATACCCTCAAAGCAAACAGTTATATTGAGGTCTCTAGCCATCTGAATCTGAACTTCTCTGGTTGAGAAAATCTGAATTCTGATAGTATTATTGCTTCTTCTTGGAAAGGCCTACCACCTCTTCACTTCACGGCATTGCATGCTTAATGTATCTATCACTTCATTCAATGTAAAATTTTAATGTAGTGTTTTGTTTCATTAAGAATTTAATGTTGAACTACATATTGTTTCTATCACCTCATTTTCACTCAGAAGTTCAACTCAAAACCTCATTTTAGGACCTCTTCCTTCTGATTCTCCAATGACATGAAACACAGAATGGATTCATGCATTCAAATCTCCATTGTTTCATGGGGACTGCTTGTGTAATAGATATATAAACTTATCACTTAATAGTCTTCATTTAATTTTGCCTGCACACCCAGAAATTGGGATTATTTTCTTTTAGCCCTTACAGAACAGTCCAGAATTCTGTAAATACAGAATATCCCACTATTACACATACCTATTCTCTCCCTTGCTTATGCCATCACACGTCAATCTTGATCTACTTCTAGGTCAATTCACCACACCTTGGACCTTTATGGCTAAGCCCAAGCCAAAGCAGGCTTGGCCTACACAGATAGGCCTACGCTTTCATAGGCCAAAGGTCTCCAGGCCTGGATCTATTCTCTAAGAAGAACATTACGTTACCATTGGCTAGCGCCAAGGCCTGGCTTACACTATGAATTAAGACGGGTTGACATATGAACCCAACGACTTTGGCCTCACCTTGGTCTACAATATGCGTAATTCCAACATATCATGGCTTAATGAGAGAGCGCCGTAAGCATACGTACATCATAGGCTAATACAACCGCCGGACTGGCCTATGATAGGCCTAGACCAGGTTTCGGCTTTAATTGCCACGGGCTTTCAAAAGCATGCCAGTTCTCGATCTGACACGCCCAGTACTCCAAATACCACAAGAACAGAGAATGACTTATACGAATTCAAGAGCCGCCATTTCCTAAGAAACGGTGCGCTGGGCTAGACCTGAGATCTACAGGAGTCCCAGAAACGCACTTTCTTTCAAGGCTTGAACGTGACTTTTCGCTTAAGGCCGTCGGGTAAGTGTTGTTCCATTCTTTCGAATAGGGCAAGTCCAACGCTTTTGTAACAAGCAACGAATAATATTCATGAAGAGCACCGAAAAAATCACAAAGTACCTCGAAACAAACGGAACAGTGACCCCGGGCCGAGCGCTGAGTGCAGTCACCCGCGAGGACGATATTCGCAGGGTTGCCAAGGGCTCAGATCAATCTCTCCTGATCCAGGTCAGTTTGGGATCCCAATTTTTCGAGGTATTAATGCATTTTTGGCGCTAATAAATGCTATATTATTAGGAATAAAATCTCTCCCACAAACTTCTCAGCTTGGTTCAGCATTTCCTACTGTTTTGATGCCCGGCCAAGAGAGGCGTAGCATGCTCTAACTTGCAAATTTAGTCCAGCTTGGTCATGGTTCAGGGGCCTGTTCCTCGCCCCGGCTAAACTTAAATCTAAATCTAAAAGCTGTCTAATAACAAAAAGTCTATTCTTCGCCCTGGACCTTTAGGCTGAGATTTAGTCTAAGATTTAGATTTAGATTTAGATTTAAGTTTAGCATTGACGAGGAACGGCCCCAGGTATAGGCCCAGCAAGGACGTCATTTCGGGAGGGCAAGGAGGGGCAGTTGCCCACCCATGTGTCTTGGAGCGATTTTTAAATAGCCTCCTTTATTCCTTATAATGTAATAACCTGAAAGTCTGCCTTTAGAGCTCTCATGCGGCATGGTTTTCATGACTCCTGTTCTTTTGTTAAATCTCAGAATATTTATGAACTCAAGCGATGCGCTCTCGAAGCTAATCGACCTTGTTTTAACTCTGCCTTTAGCAACTACCTGAGCCGAGAGACATTTATCCGCCACGAAGTGAGTGGAAAAAAAAGTCGAGTCGTCTGCCATTGGCCGCACCGAAAACGGTTTGCCCGAACCAGAGAACTTCTGCGAATCTGCTCTACGCCTCTGGAACTCTCACTTGAGAGATTTTCTGTTGCCCGGTGCAACGATGGTTGTAGTTTCGTCTAATTAAATATCATCCTTCTTGCAGCCGACTTTACACAACAAAATAAGGGAAATTTCTGGCGCCGACTTAATATCGTGAAGTCCAAAAATCTGCTTTTTTTTATAATTTCGCGAAATTTGAGTTTCACGAACTGGACCACTCCCTATGTTGTTTTTGCCATTAGCCCATACGGTAAATAATAATAATAATTCACGAGCGATTCAATTTCACGATCGACTGTTCCTCATAAAATTCGCGAAATTGAAGCAGGCGATAACATTTCTTGCTGAGCTGTGATTATTTATTCGCCCCC